GGAGTGCAGCTGCTCTGTTTTCACGAACCACCTCAGCCACCTCTCACCTCTGTGGTCAATGTCATCAGTATCACTGTCGGCTTCCTCATCCTCTTCATCCAAAGTTCCTCGAGTCAGGATCAAGTCAGAAGGGTCCAGCACAGGAGATACACTGTCTGGAGTTAAAATATCAATCAGTACAAATGTGTCTGTAAGGAGCTGATTCTGTATTAATGAGTAATTATGATTATCTATTAGTATCATGAGAATGTTAACCATTACAGAATCTCAGGACCTTGTGTCCTCTAAATGTATCTAACGCCACTTATCATTTCTACCAAGGTTTAGTTCACAAAGTACTTTCATGAGCCCAATACTGTAAGGATCCTGCTCATAATCCAGAAAACACAAGGCACTTGCCTCTGAAGCAGCAGCACTGTCTCACTAGCTCACAGCTTGGAAGAGGCAATAGTTTTTCCTACAAAAACTAAAGAAATGCAAGCAGATCCAGCACCATGACAACTCGGGGTGAAAGTGCAGAGTGCTCAGGAAGCTTCCAGGTGGGATGCAAGGTCAGGGAGGGTCTGAAGAAAATACAGGGTGAAATGATTTCAAATATAGCAAAAAATTCCCTAGAGAAAAAGTTCCCTACTCAGGGAATAAGGGCTAAACCCCAATAATGAGAAGAAAGTAGTCAAGAAATTTCTGGCACAGAATTCAGCATATGGGGGTTAGTTTCTTTTCTTCTTTTAAACAAATATATTTTTATTATTTTAATTTTTAAAATTTTTATGTGTATGCCTACATGCATGTAAGTGCACCCATTTATGCAATGTCCATGGATATCAGAAGAGGGCATCAGATCCCCTGGAACTGGAGTTATGGATGGTTGTCTGCCAACACATGAGTGCTGGGAATTGAACCCGGGTCTTCTGTAAGAGCAGCCGGTGCTCTTAACCACTGAGCCATCTCTCAAGACCAGGAGTTAGTTTCTATAAGAACCTAAACTATAGGCGGGTAGGCCCATTCTTCAGGAGCCTACAAGACTTCCTACAATTCAGCTGGGAACACAGGGTAAAAGAATGACCCAAGGCAGTGACACAGAGAGGTGCAAAAATCTCAAGGGCCTGATAGTAGTGTAAATAGGTGACAGCAAGATGTGCTGACAGTTAATAATGCATTCTTCTGTGCCCAAGTGAAAATACCTAAATACAGGGTTTTCCCAAACCACAGAAACTCTCCTCCCCTTCATGAGCTTATCTGAATACAGCAGTAAACACACCATTTGCCTTTTGAGGTACTCTGGTGGGCCCTGGCACATACACATGGCAAGACGTTGAGGTGTGTGTCAAGGATGGCACAGGAGCATTAATGTAGCTGGTAAAGCCATGCATGCTGTTCTCTAATGGACATATGTCAACAGATTTCACAAACAGAAACTACTCTCTTAACCAAATAGCCCAGAAAAAGAATTCTGATGTTGCTATATGAAGAAGAAGAAGAAGAAAAAAAAGCATGTGATTTATTGCCACTACAAATATATAAATAAAATAGAACTTGTTATATATTAAAAAATAAAGTCCGTCCATTTGATTTCTGGATCTCACTGAACTACAACAAATTTCTGCCCCTGATACCCATCCTTCAGAAATAATACTTTATTTTTTAATCTTTCATTTTTTTTAAGTTTTTTTTTTTTTTTCTTTGAGACGGGCTCCCTGTAGCCCAGCTGACAGAA